TGTATGTATGTATGTATGTACTCATGCATGCCAGCATACGTACGAACTTAGATATCATCCCGGCCCACAAAGGCCGAAAGACAGCCTGCTGCAGGCACGGCCATCGTTTTCTTCCAAGGATACCTGTGCTCCATGATGCGCTACAGGCTATGCCAAGCTGACGGTTGCTCAGCTTAAGGCAAAATGCGCGGAGCTGGACTTGCCAAAATCAGGGCGCAAAGCCGACCTGGTGGTAAGGCACTCAGTCGCGGAGGACCCTATTTAATGATAAGTGCAGAGGCAGACTAGATACCAGTAGGGCTTCATGCTTGTTCACCATTGTCCACATTATGACCTGCACGAGGCTCGCTTAGAAGCCAAAGCTGCTTCGCAGGATCTGGGCTGAGTTGCTCCTTTACAACCTTGAAGGTGAGGCATCTGCTCTCCTCCGGCATCTAGCCTCGTAGAGGCCAGCCACAGCACAGCTAGCTCCAAGTTTCTGGTGGGAGACAGGGCCGGCGACACAGTTGCGATGCAGAGATGTCACCATGCAAGCACTGCCACATGCCATTCAGGTTATGGCCCTGTATGAAAAAGAACAGAAAGAGTACGAGGCAGCAGTGCACTCGAATGTGCTGGTGTACAAGCACTCTCAAGTCATCGAGAGAACGCTGCTCAGTGAGCAGCAAAACTGTCAGGCTCTTGTCCAGTGCCACAACGGCGATGAGTCCTACTTGATCACATGGACGGAGGTGCAAAGCGATGAGAACGACTTGCGTGGTGCACCTTGCAATGCTCGGTACTCATTATTCTGACAGGATGGCTACGAGCACAATCAGGATGCTAGCAACATGAGGCGCGTCGATGGGCTTTGCTGGGTCAAGCAGCTTCTAACTGACTCTCTGCTGCTCGTGTAAGGCTTCTCAAGCGCAGGGACAAGCCTTTTCGCTTCTCAGCACAGTGCTGAGATGGGACCGGAGTGTGCCATGCCGAGTGCGATCGACCGCAAGTCCTGATAAGGCCGGCGACAAAGTTGAAGGCTTGTTCCATGACGAAGACAGGTGGTATGCCGCAAACGTCCAAGCATTGCTTCGAGGGTCGTAGGAATCTGCCTTTCCTACGTACACGAGCTAAGGCTCGCGTTAAGTGTGTCAATGATTCCGGCTCCTACACTGTTATTTGGGATGAAGATGGCCGCGAACTCAGCTACATCCTTTCAATTTCGCCGGCGGAGTTCGCAACTTATCAATGTGAGATAGCAGACAGCAATCTGCGTTAGCTCAGTTTGTGTAAGGTGAGGAATACGAGCTTGCGCCGTGCACTTTGCAAGTATTATCTCGTCCACTGCGAGTTTCAGCTTCGCTGGCAGCCGTTTCCTCCAAGGGAAAAGGACTTAAAGCCTTCAAAGCTGCCAACTCCGCTGTCAGACTTGACGTGTGGGCCCAGGGCTGCTTTCCGAGGGCAACCCCCTCTGAGGGCTGCTGAGCTTGCCATCTTCTGCTTTTGCTGGCGAGGCCTCGCCAAAAGCTTACAGGCACAGTGGCAAGGACAGGATATGAGCTCGAGCGCTGAACACGTCGGTCTGGCCTCATGATGGACCAAGCGAGGACGTTTGGTTTCGGAACGTTTGTGGACATCGGTGCTGAGCGAGACGGACAGATGCTGAGCTTGAAAAGTAGCATTTTTCTTGACAGCCTCTTGCGACAACTCTTCAATGTGTCATGCAGAGGTTTGCTGAAGCCTTGGTTCACCTTCAAGGGTGAAGAGCCAAGTTTCAAGCCGGGAGACAAGGTCAAGGCCTGGTCAGAGATTTTTGCTCAGTAGTAGTGGCCCGTCCCCCCCCTTGTTGGCCGCATAGGCACTCTACGATGAGGAGGAGGAGTACTACGCAGCGACAGTCCAGAAGGCGACACTTCCAAGTCCCAAAACAGAGAGAGAGAGACAGAGACAGTCGAGTTTTGGCGCTGACAAGGACAACGGTGATGGTACTTTCGACATAGTATGGGAGGAGGACGATTGCGAGTACACGCAGAGACCTCAAGCTAGCCGAGTTGCTCCCTATCTGCCCCTGACTCTTTGTGCTGGGCCGGCCCAGGGCCGACAAGTCGAAGATGGAGTTAGTTCGCCTCGCAGAGCTGGAGGAGGGAAGCAAGGCTCGCAGCCGTAGACGTGCGCACAGGGCAGCGCCGCAGACACGGGCGCCTCGCATTCTATAGCCCGCTGTCAGCCGAGAAGCATCAAGTCGACATGTCGTCACGACTCAGTAGGTGGCAGTGGCAACCAGTCTCGGAGAACCGATGGGAGTGGATGCCTCCGGAGACAGGTTTGCAGCTCTCCGCATCCCTTGGAAGAGACGACGTCGCCGTTGTCCACTGGCCAGCACTTGGCAGTGTCGAAGTCGACAGGAGTGCTGGGGTAGTTCGATTGCAAGGTCAAACGCTCGGCAAAGTCCGGCGAGTGCCAAACTGGTGGGGGGAAGATGCTAACCTGGCCTCTGGGGTGCTGGTGGCTGCAGAGACGGCTGAAGGTGTGGAGTTCCTTCTTGCTGTGGAGAGCAGGCCTTGGTGGCCCACCCGGCAAGTAGGCCCACTTTGGGGATTCGTCGAAGCGGAGGACCCAAGCCTCACCTTTGCCATGGCGCGGGAGGCAGCCGAAGAGGGCCTCGAGATTCTGGGAAGCCAGGACCAGCTCCTGGGTTATTTACTATAGATCCCTATTCATGGTAACCTAAATCAAAGTTCGTAACCAGAACCAACCCAGGCTCTTAGCCAGCTTGGAGTCTTCAGAAACCTCCTGTCCCGTGTCCTTCTGGCCCTGGGAATCCGACACAGCACGGCTCAAGCCACGGCCGGCAGTTCTGCGAATCTTAGGGGTACTTAGAAATATTTTTCGATCTTTGGCTACTATAAACCCTAAGAAGCAGCTAAACTTATAATTTTTGCTAGGGGTCTAAGTTCAGTATAGGAATGGTGAGCTTGGGGCGCTTGTCTCCGATGCAGAAAGGGGCAGTTCTTGGCAGCTTTAGGAAGCGACGCCGCCACGCCTTAGCTTGGGCCGCTTCCTTGGCTGTCCTGGCACAACCTGCATCACACTTGGAAGTGGAGGAGCTCATCTGGGTGAATTCGCGGTCCTTGCTACAAGAGGTGCAGGCACGCCAGAATCCATAAGTAGAGAGATTGTTCCGAAAAGAAAGGGGAACACGATGCTTGCTTCGCACCTTACCCCACCCAAGAAGCGGCCCTAGATGGGGCCCACCAGCACAACTTCAAACCCCCCACGCGCCTGCTCACGACTGGATGATACTGGAGGCATCTTCCCTCAAGAGGATTTTAGCAACTCCCAAGTTCAAGTCGACAGCTCACCTCTTCGTAGACGCGTGCTTTCCCCAGGCGGGCCAGGTCCCATGGCTTGGCGGGAGCGAGGGTGGTCCCCTGCGCGGATTTGTGGGCGATCTCCTTCGGGAGGCTGGGGCTATCACACAAACAGCTTCCTGAGCGATTCTGTTGCAGCTCTCTGTAGTTGCTTTGGGCCTGACAAGAGCAAAGCGTTTGAAGACTGCACGTACGACGGGACCGTGACGATTATAGCCTGTTAGAGTATATTATAGTCTGTTATAGTTAATTATAGTGTCTTACTGTATATTATAGTCATTGTCACGGCGCCAGGGCCAACGTTGGAAGCGGAGCGCACGCTTTCGAGACTTCTGCACAGGAACTTCGGAGGTGCCCTCTGGTTTGCCATCTTGTCGGTTGTTATCAAGTCTTGTGGGTTTGTGGCACTTTTCTCGCGTGTTTGCAGCTGGATCCATGGGATGAAAGCCTAAGCCAGGGAAGGGTTATGGCCGTGTGTTTTACGACTCAATGATGTTCAATAATGTTCAAAGCATCACTAGTTTATGAATACGAAGCTTCCTGGCCGTCTTCTAAACGTTCCAGGGGACTGGCACAATCGGTGTACATCGCCCTGCAGTGTGATGACTTCCCAGGCGCTGCCTCCAATGCCACACTCGCGCTCACTGGTTTCAAGGCACACTTTCGGCAATTTGCACGTTGACGCCCAAGATGCCGGAGCAGTTGTGTGCGTGTGTGCGCATGAGGCTTGTCACAGAAGCTGGCACTGCTTTCTGCCAAAAGCTAGGCCTGTTTCAGCTTGCCTAGTCGTCGCTTACGTGTAGAGTGCAGTATGTTCGCTTGCTTTTCACAGGCAGAAGCATGGCAGCATCAAGACATCGAGTGCGTGACCAACCTCCACTGCGCAGAAGCGGACAGTGCTTTGAATCCCAGACTTTCAGGACATAGGCCCTTTGGAGGTACATTGTTAGTAGATCCCCTTGCACAGCTGCAAAGTCCAGCGGTGTGCTCGGCTATTGCATGCTATGCACAAGCAACATGTGCCCGGCGGCCGAGAATTGCAAAAGGCCGCTGTCTCCAGAACAGGGTGTGTGACACTGGCGATCAGTCAAATCACAAGGAAGCCGGCGCAGCAGGGGCTTGCTTGCAGCGCATCTGCGAGGTCACGGTGTACGTTGAGTCTGTGAAAACAGACAAGGCAGTCATGACACAGCATTTTTCTTACTTGACCATGTACTCCTCGAGCAATCGGCAGGATGGCCAGCAGAAGCTGTGGCTAGCCACAAGCTTGGTAAAGATCGTTTAGGATTCGACCTTCTGGCCGTGGCCCTAGCATTGCAAGGCCTTGGTCAAGGACAAGATCGGTAGCCAGGGCCCAAAACCGTCCGAGCTTCAGAGTGCTGTTCGGCACTGGGCATCAGAATCGCAGCGATGGTCCCTCTGTGGCTTTGCCAGGATAGTAGACCTGTCGGGCTTCACGGACCTCTCCACGGATCTCTGGCTGAGGGGTCCGCACCCACAGTTCACGAGGAATCTGCTTGCAATAGCTCTTGGCAGAAACTGGCACGCGCCAGGGACCGTCACGAAGATTTTGAATTTTGGGGCCTTTGTTCGAGTCGAGCCTCCGACTGGTGGAGAACCAGCACAAGGCTCAAGTCTTAAGTGGATCTAGCAATCTGGCTGTTCATGTTCTTGACAAACACTGACCCGGAGGTCTGGTCCATGTGAACGAAGTCCGGGACGGTTTCATCAAAAATCTCGAGGAGACTGCGGAGGGGCACATGCCTTAAGGCATCATCGCAAGAAGCCTCAGATCGTACGAAGGAAGAGCTTTCCGTGGATGAAGAAGTGCAGGCAGGTCCTTCCTCTGCCAATCTTAGCGAGTAACCTGCTCCGAGTGACATACTCCAGCACCCTTGCGCACAGGTTCGTGTGACGTATGTTGATGCAAGCGAAGGGGTGTAGGGGCCTCGACCAGAAGACGTGCCACTTCAAGATCCAGAGCATGGCAGTTTCAGCAGAGACTGAAGCTGACGCACTTGCAGTACGGCACCCTGGCTTTTGAGGCTGCAGCTCTCCATGATTGGCAGCTGACCGGGTTGTCACCCTTTGCCTGTCCTCCTGCAGTGCTACGACCATGACGACACAATGGGAACTCTTGATATGTCCGAGGGTGACAGATGCTGCTGTTTTGTAACAGATGCATTCCAGCAAAGATGTGGGCAAGAGCCACAAAACTCCAGAAGCAACTAGCAAAGCTGCGTTTGGCCCGATGATGTTTCACCTTAGAGGTATGCGCGGAAGAAGCTCGTCAGTCCTGCCCTGCTTCATTTCGCTACCGTCCATGCACCAAGGGCACTTGTGGCATCCAAAGTTCCTCAAAGCAACGTTTGCCCCTACCGGCTCAGAGCTTAACTGCTCACACGACACGAAACACTCCCACATCGATCTGGCCGTTTGCCAGTTACCAGCATCCCCACAACTCCACTATTTGAGTAGCACTGAGCACTGGTTGTCTGGACAGCAGGTCAGAAAGCCACCACGAAAGCATCATGGCTCTGCTGAGATGTGGACTCTTTGGCCGTTCACTTAGCCCGCGTGAGAGGATATGCAATGCAATCCGTCCAAAACTCGCGAATGCTAATCAGCACATTGCCTGCAGGAGTCTTAATGCGATTCAGCAGATGCAAAGGCCGACTGTAGCTAACAGCCGATAAGAACTCCAGGTAGAAGGTGCTGCCTGCCTGGTTCGAGTTATTGTGTAGAACATGATACGGTGTTCAGTCAAATGCGCACCGAGGAAATGTCGCCGCAGCTGGAGGCCAGCATGGCTCTGTAGAAGATTAGCTCACATTTGGCTCTCGGAATAAGGTTTCAGCCGTAAAGAACTCTGGCAGTGCTACCGTTTGGAATCGTGAGCCTGTTTTGGGGTGTATGCGCAGAGCGCATTGCAAGACGTTTGTGCCAGGAAGGCTCATAGAGGTGCAGCTAAAGCTGCTCATGCCCGTCGCTGAGAACTTGAAGTCAGAGATATTCCCGCCTGTCCGCATCGACGTTGACTACTTTGCCGCGGGATTCTTCCTGCGTGCTGATGACCTGGAACCGTCATATCTACATTCAAGAACCTGCAAGCTGCACAAAGGCTGGACCTTCAAGCTGTCAGCGATCGGCATTGATTTCTTTGGTTCTTGCTTGGCACCGAGAGCTTTCGGGATGCCGCTTGCCAAGTGCTGTTTGCCAGTAACTCAGTGGTGCACCCTCCGGGACGTTGTTGCAATGATATAGACATATACATAAAAAATAATATATATATATATATATACGTACATACATACATCTATGATACACATGATATACTATCCAAGACGGCGACTGCACGATTAGAGCGAACCTCCACCCTGGAAAGGTCTCAAATCTATGTCTGTCGACGAAGGATCATGACTCACTGCCAGCACAAGACGAGGAATCTAAAGGTCATTCATAGCAGGCAGCTCCAGGAACTATAGGCTGTTTTGAAATGAAAACATCCAGCTTAACGACTGCGTCATTGAATAGTGATCGCTGCTGGAAGGGATAACCTGAAGCGTACCACTCAGCCCACTGACCTGCTGTGCTTAGGCGAACCTAGCAGTGTGCTTTGTCAGCTTTCGTGCGACCCCTGGCATGGGCCGACTGCGAGTGCTCACGGAATCAGAGAGATGCTGAGGCTACCTGAAACAACTTCGGGAAGCTGAAGAAGCTTCGTACCAGGCGAGATGCAGCTCGTTGGTGCTTGCTGCTACAGCGACCGATCGCCGCCAAAGGAAGCAGAATTGGACCTCTCCAAGCTTTATGAAGTGCCCCCAGGACTGACCGTAGCGAAAACAGGCCACAACACAAGTCAGCATCGCCCTGTCTGCCTATGTGGGCCCGAAACCCCGAAGCTCTGAACCCTAACCCCTAAAGCCCTGAACCATCCTAAACCCCTCAAGCCTCTGAGTTTCAGAGGATATGAGAAAACAAAAGCAGAGCCACCGTTTGGTGACCCTTCGGCCGCGGCCTCACAGGCTGGAGCTGCCTCAATGAGTGAAGACAGGTTAATACAAAATGGGTAGTGCTCTAAGTTAAGGTCCCTGTTTTTGGTTCCTTAAAGGGATATATATATAAGGATATCTATAGGGGTTATACAAGGGTACCACAAGGGTAGTGCTCTAAAGTAGGGTCCCATATAGAGCATGGCACCCTTGTGACAGTGACCCTACAAAGGGACCGAACCCGAATAGTAGATATAATGGTGTATGGTACGGTACCAATATATACAATAGTTGCAGTACACAACAGTATATAATCCGTATACATTAGCAAACACGAGCATATCATCTAGTAGCATGTAATATCACATAAAGAACCGACTCACGCATAGTATTATATATCCTTTATATCAATAGATAACATATGATATCATGCAGCAACATATAGTCTCTTATAGCAATATGTAGTTATGCATACGAATAAGTAATATCCTATCAAAATGTATCGCAATATTTTGTAGTGTTACATAATGGTACGAAGTGTGTATTCATGTAGAAGCCTAGGTAACTGTGTATGACAATGTGAAAGAGTATCATCTGGCAGCGTACATTAGCAACTTTCAATACAGAAGAAGTTGCGATCATATAACTGGATATGGAACGAAGTATAGTCACATAGCAGTAGTTTATAAAAATGCAAAATTGTGGGTATATGTATCTATATGTATAACGGTTTGAAGGGATGTATAGTACTACGTCTTGTTGCAAAGTGATAAGAGCAACAGCACTAATATAGTAATACATAGCACAACATACTGGCACATATCAACTTACTGCAAAATTCATAAGATATACTCCTGTGAGCAGAGCATGGTTCGCAAGCAAGGACTTTGCATCAAAAGCGCCTGGGAAAAGTCTCAGAAAGGCTGAGCCCATTCCCGCCACAAGGACAGAGGCACGAGAAGTTGCACTTGAGATCTGCTGGGCTTGGCGTCATCTGGGGGTTGTTGATGCAGGCAGAGAGCACAACCTTGCCATCTAACCCCGAACCGTGGTGCCCTCGTTGCGGAACTCTTGCTTCTGGAGATATCTACAGCTTTGCGAGCCCAGAAGTGGACATTCAGCACATCGTGCGACAGCAGTAAGGCCAAAACCGGCAGCTATGCCAAAACCTCCAGCGACATCTCCACAGAAACCACCCCCACAGAAACAGGCGGGCTTGACTTGCAGCTATTTGGCCGGCAGTTCACATCCTCAGCACAAGAGGCGACAGAACCACCGACTTTGCCGCCACATGAACACCCACTGCAAATGACATCCACATGCCTGCGTCCAAGAAGAAAGACGTACATTGAGTCCGTAGTCCGGTGCCAACATATGAAGACATGTTCAGGTCCCATCTGTGGCGCAAGGAAGGAAAGCCCCCTGCAACAGCCTTGTCTGCCAAAGCTCTTCCGGCTGCAAGAGCTAGAAGTGTTTTGCTGATCCATGCGTCCAGGCTCACCACCAACCTTGACCTTGACGTTCGTTCCAAACTGAGCACAAAAAAGCGATGCTGCTGCCCGGCGAGCGGGATGTCCGATCGAGGCTGCACCTGGAAAGAAGTTTCCAAGTCATTCCTGTCTGAGACTGCTGACGACGGACAACCAAAAGCGTGCTTCAGCTTGTTAGTGTCAGTGCGATGTTGCACACCTATGCCATGCTGCGACAACAGGTTGTCTGATGCCAAAGAGATTTGCATCAATATCGGTATTCCCGGCAGGTTTCTGAAATCAGCCACAGGACGAAGACCCTATGCCGCCAGTGTTAGGCACATCCTGTGGCGGAGTTACCTGCGACAAGCCTGGCACCCACCTCGAAGAGGCAACTGTGCTCTTGGAGCTGTATAGACGAAGACAGAACGATTTCAGACAGCCTTGCGCCTTCAAAGCTGGTCCGTGCTGGGCCTGAACAGGCAAAGCAGTGCACAGCGAGGCGAAGGGCGCTGCAAGTCGGCACAGCGCACAGCCACAGCCGCAGGTCGTCAACACAGCCAAAGTCGTCTCCCAGCGAAGAGGTGACGTGGGAGCCTCGGGCCGGCCTTGCAACTACGGTGCATTTCTTACATACAGGAAGATGGTATAATCTGGTCATTGAATCGAAGAGAAGCTAAGATGATAAGCTCGATGTGTTCACTTTGCAGCATGCATGCTGGTTTAGAACTGCCGGTCTTCAAGCATCGGAACTCAGGTTTGTGAAGAACTGCACGTATGGTTCAACTTGCGACGAGGCTGCTGAGTGACACTGCTTGATTACCGGTTTGTCTCCGCTCGTTGAATCTGCGAGGCGCGACCTACAAGGTTCCCGGCCAATCCTTTCAGCAAAGACCTGAAGGGTGCTGCCATCGCGAGGGGCTTAGTTACAAGATCAGCCACGCTGGGAGTCAGAACAGCCCAACCAGCCTAACTTTGCCATGAATCGACTTGCCATGACTCGCAATCGTAGCAGTGGTTTGGCGATGGAAATAAGAAGTAGATGGCGTGAACGCGCTGCTGCCTCTTGTGCACAAGTCGTGGCAAGTCTGTCGCGCATGCATCGGAGCAGGTCATCCTCGCGCACAACCGGGAAGGAGATTTCAGGTGCTCTTCTGACAAGACAATCTTGTGGAAGCAGTCCACTTGATGGGATTGGCACGGCTGCGAAACCAACATGCATGGGCGAGGAGATGTCTTGAATCACTGTTTGCAATACCAGAGGCAGCGCACCCGAAGTATGTGAGTGTCGGAGTAGAGATGAACAGTAGATGGGTCGCATTTGGGCCGCATCTCAGGTGGCCTTGTTCACTGTGTATATTTCCCTGGATGATCCGGCAGCCTGGACATCTATGACTGCTGCTGCCAAGCAGGCATGACAAGGAACCTCATAAGCTTTTTGAGTCAAGCTGTAGTAACCATACCAGTAGTAGGCACTGCAAGTCGAAGGTCGCAGCTGGCAAAGGTATCAACATCGAGGTGTGGCAGGCCGGCGGCCACCCTGAAGCGCTCGCATCTTCTGTGTGATCCGGTCATGCGACTCTCATGCAGATCGGGCCTCGGGCATTTGATGCTACAACGGTTCTCAACGAGGAAAAGAGTCGCCACACCCGACAGCTGTTGATGCTTTCGAGTTCCGAAGCAGAGGAGACAGACAAGTGGATGAAGACGAACACTGGAAAGATTGCCCACCACTACTGGACCGTGTTTGAGAAGCCAGATACTTAGACATCCCCTGCATTTGCCAAGAATTGCGAAGACACTTGCATGCAATTCCCAGGTCCTTCATGGAGAAAGCACACGATCACGTGATCTTCGTAAAACTCTCAACTTTCTTGGAAAAGTTGGCAGTACAGCTCCTTGTGATGCACAGAGAGAGGTTGAAGAAGACTTGCTTTTCTCCCCGGACTTCTTCGCGCTGTTCCGCAGAATCTTGGCTTCAAGCATACAGTGCATGGCCAGGAGTGCAGTCCTAAACGTGGCCTTCATGGCATGTCCTGATTCTAATATAGTATACTATAATATACTATAGTATAATATACTATAATATAATATACTATAGTATAATATACTATAGTATAATTAGCCCTTTCTCAACACGCAAACAAATCCGAGGCACAGCTGGCCTCTTGGATGAGGCGGCCTTGGGCTCATGGTTCGTGGTCATCCAATCTTTCGGGGTTTTTGGGTTTGGGTGTTTTTCGGCTTCGGGCTTTCATTGTTTTTTGGGGTTTAGGGTTTTGAGCTTGGGGTTGTCCCGATCCTGTTGACAGGACCCAAGTCTCTGGTGCATCGGCGCTTGGAACGATTTCGGCTTCAAGGACTGGGGTCCTGAGTTGTTGCTGCTTGACGCTGGGCGCACAGCTCCAGACTCGAAGACAATCAGCATCCAAATCGATGCCAGAGCAGCCATGGCAGGGCACCGCACTCGATGCCTGCAGCCTGCAGCGCACCTCCTATTTTCCAGGCAGATGGCACTTCGGTTCCGCAGGCTGTTCAAAAACAACTCGAGACTCCTCCAATTTCAGAAGGCTTGGGCTTCATGCTGCTGCGGCGAGCCTGGCTGGAAGTCCGAAAGGTGCGGAAGAGCGCAGACGCAGCGCGAGAATGATGTGACCTTCCGCCTTTCGGCAGGCCTGGCCCCTGGCACCGACCATGGGCCGGCAGCTTATGTCAGCTTCCGCTTAAACTTTCGCGCATGCAGCAGAGAAGGCTGCGACCACACGTGGCCTTGCAGGCTGGGACTACTGGATGCGGGCCGGAGCCTCGCTTCAGAGCGAAAGTCTGGCAAAACGCGCCAAGACCGAAGGTCGCATTCCGAGCCGCCGGCAAAGAATGCATAGTCCCACAGGCTTTGCCCGGGCAAATGCTGTTTAGCTAGCCTGTGCTGAATGTTGATGCGACGGTTGTTTTTTGCATCTGGAGGTGTCAAGAAGTCACCACGCAGCAGCTAAAGGCTCTTCTGTCTCGACAGCTCAGCTCCGAGGTTGTGCAAGTAGATGGACAGACAGTGCTGGAGCTCTGCAAGTGCCCGAAAGTCAGGCCAAGCAAATTCGCTTGTTTGAGCCCGTTGCTGAAGATGCTGCTGATGTTCTTGCTTTGCTGCGGTGTTTGTCTGCCAACCTCAAAAACTTCTCATTCGGACGGCTCTGAGGTCCATGGCCTTTTCCGACGTGCCTTCGACATGCGATGTTTCCATCTCAGATTACTTCATCTTGCCGACTGTCGACGAAGCCTTACCACAACCTTGGGATGATGAGCTCCCTTGCTCGATGTTCACCTCCCGGCTCAATCGCATTCTCAGACGCTCCGTTTACAGGAGACCCTTCAAGTCTAAGCAGAAATCTGGCAAAGTTGGGATGGCATTGATGTTATTCGGGAGAGCACGAGATCCTGCAGCCGTTGTTGGGGAAACCATCTACATGCGCCTGTGCTGGAAAGTTGTAGGCTGGCCGGCTACTTGTTTCTGGTAGGCCATCGGATCCATTGGGATCTTGCGTGTGTGTGTGGGGGGGCCCTTGTTGAGTCTAAGTCTAAGAGGATCTTACCAATAATTCTCGTGAGCTTGAACAGTAGTCCACCAGATAAAGGGTTCTGAACAGGATAGTAGCACCCATCTTTCTAGTTCTGAACGCAGTAGCACGTCAGAAGAAAGAGTCAGCATCCTGTCTTGGTAGGGATGGAGCAACATGCGAGATGGGCACTGTTATGTTCGTTGCCGGCACCCGAACCACCGTCAACAGTAGCGTGGGCCATGGGCGATGTTGGCGATGCAAGGCCCGGGATTGATATTGTGACAGATCTAGCAAGTGTCCACAGTTCGATATCCCAGGTGCAAACGTTGCTCGAGACATGTGCGCATGCATGAGAAGACCCGAACGCATAAAGCAAACACACATGCAGGGTCTGCCGTCCCGAATATCACCAGTTCGCAGGATGATGCAAGTTTACCTCTCAGCGCTGCGCTTTTAAGCGAGTTTCGATAGCCTCGTACGCAACTGCCCTGCCATGGAAGCCAGCAGCATAGCTTGGGATTTTCCCAGCTTCCTTTGGCAGAATCTGGATGCCATCGGCTTTCTTTCAGCACCTTGGAGCTATCTGGCCTCTGAGAGATTCAAAAACCCCTAAACCCTAAACCCTAAGGTTCTCTCGATCCTGGTCTTCACTGGGCTTCCCAGCTGCAGTGACTCCGTGGTTTGGAGAAGTGTGGCTGGCGAGCTGGATGCTCTGAGGCTACTTGAGTGTTTCCAGCAGCGCTCTCAAGCGAAAGAAAACTCTCAGCTGGACGAATCGCAGCTCCCGCTGATATCCCTGAGCTCTTTGACACTTGGCTTCCTTCTGTAGGCGATCAGGAGCTAGCTGTGCAAGCATACGCATACTGACGAGGAGTCTCTATGATGGCAAGCAGTCTCCGATGACCTACTGCTGCGTTAGAGGTCGTTACCTGGCTCGTTGGTAGCACTTGTTAATCTTTCCTAGTTGAATGCTGTGAGACTTCGCAACAGTCTCCACGGCAGACCCACTCAGGTGTGTATGATGTCTCCAGCTCTCCGAACTTCCAGCCGGGTGCTTCATACAGCTTCCTGGCTGGGGCCGATGCCACAGTCGCACTTGCAAAGATGCGGCCCAGTCGCAAAGCGAAGAATGACAAAGCACTGCTCTGTCATGTTGTCCACACATACTGGCCGAGGTTGGTTCCGCATCACTAACAGATACCAAGGTACTAGAAGGGCAGGCGTTGGTTCTTTGGCAACCAGCTACCTCCGCACGTCAGGTCATACGACAAGTCGCTGGTCAATAGCATGGACTTCAAGGAGCTGTGCCCCGACGAGTGGAAGGCCGGACTAGGAGAGCCTACCTCTCCATATTATTTCGTGTTAGAAGCCCTACACTCCTACACCCTGAAACCCTTAAGATCCCGAAGAGCCGCCCTACACTTCTACACCCTGAAGCCTAAAAGATCCCTTATAGAGCCCTAAAGCCTTAAACCCTCAGATGTTTTGAAATCCTCGAAAGCTTCAGGCTCTCGAGGGCTGGGTCGGCTATATGGATGGCAAGTACTCCTGCGTGGCTCGACTTCAGGACCCCCTTAGGGTTTAGGGTTTCGGGTTGAAGGGTCCGCTGTACCCATGTAGGATATACTTGGGGCCTAAAGTACCGAAATAAAGACCTTGGGATTAGAGGGGGGATCCAGAGCCTTGTCGCTGCGGGCAGGAATATGTTGAGTATGCCGGCATATCGTGAGAAGGATCGACTGAGACCATAGCGCTTGTCTGTGGGATGGTGCAGCTAGCGAAAGCACGGGCTGCCCCTTCACAAAAGAGAGGCACCTGGCTTTCGTTCTTAGGTACATCAACCTGCCTTTGTTAGACCATTGACTGCAGGCATTGTGCATGGAGTGTGCTAGACTCGACTTTGTTCCATCAAGTCGTAGGCAGTCAGGGAATTATGCATTTTCGGAGCAGTCTGAGCCAGCAGTGCTACGACAAAGCTCAGCAACTGCCCATTCGCCGCGGGGAAAGCTACGAAGTAGCACTGCCTGTGGTGGAAGGACATCTACGCTGACTCCTGTCCTCGGAAAACTACCCTTCGACAGGGGTTGGTATACATGGGTAGTTGTCAAAATTATGGTCCCTTTTGGGACTAAATAATAGGTGCCGTATATAAGGACCCAAAAAGGGACCATAATTTTGACAACCACCCACATGGGTTACCAGGCGACCTGTTTTCGCTCTCTCTCTCTCTCTCTCTATCGGTCTCCCAGTGTTCCTTCGGATTCTCGAATACCGAAGGCTTTGGGCCGAGGCCAAGGCTACACTCCGCTTTCGCTTCTCCGATGGATACTGCCAAGAGGCGCAAACTGCGCTTTTTCGTGGCTTGCTCTGTGGGCTTCTTGAGCCTATGCCTCCGTACAAGGAGTCCCCTTGTCTTCTCGCAGACCCTGCCAGCCAGAGTCGTCAGCCACACGAAGATGCAAGTCCATTCACCTTGGAGCAAAGAATTTGAGGCCAATTGGCAGGTGCCTCCTGAGGCATTGTCCGGAAGCCTCCTTCGACAGGATGGAAACTATGTAGCAGCGCTTGAATGGGCGTCTCAATCAGACTGTGATGCCTGGTTGGGACAGCCTGGCATGGAGCAAACCCGGCACAGCACCGTCCAGTACGTAGTCTGCGGTGCCGCACCTTCCGCTTCAAAGGAGCCGAGCGCTCCTCAGAAGGCATCCGCTCGTGATCTCATGGACAATGCTTTGGGAGGGGGCATCCGGAGCAGGGCTGACTTCGAAGCACTGCAAGCTCCTGAGGTAGATCCATCTGTTCTTTTCGCGATATCAGCAGGTGATGATGTAGACATCGATGAGTCCGATGAAGTTTTGATCTCCGGAGGGGATCCGAGCTTTCTGAACGACGACAAGTGGTCGAGCAGCTCGCAAGTCACAGAAAAGCAGCAAAAGACCCCGCTGGATTTGGCGCACAGTACCGAAGACGAAGACGAGGACGATGAAGAAGATGTGCTCTTTCACGGAGGAGACCCGACATTCTTGGATGACACGCTTTGGGGCGACCAAGCTGACAAGAAAGTTGAGGAATGGGATGGAAGAGAAGATGACACAGCACACTTGTTTGATTGACATGTGATGTGACATGATGTGCTTGCTTGGAGGCTCTTTTGCCCAGCACGCCTCGCTATCAAACAACTGGGGCCTGCCACTCTGCAGACCTCGGTTGGCAAGCAAGGCAATGTCTTGCTACATGTCTATCGCGAGCATTCCTTGACTGGGAGTTCAATGTTCCAGAAAACTCCGCGCTACAAGCACCCTTCAAGCTTCGAAAATCGAGGCTTGACCAAAGCCTAGCTGCTTAGTTCATGCACAGCGGGTGCTTTCCCGAAAGGGACCTTGGGATCCGATTTGACAAGTCGGTTCACGAGAAAGAAGCTTGTCAGTGTCGTCTGCCGAAACTCTAGTTGGAAGGAGATAAACAGGGTTGCCAGCAAGACGGAAGGACCGGCGGGGAATTTGCCGATATACTACAACCCGTCCTACCCAACACACTTGCGCAAGCCAACCGACCCGGCTTTCTGTTCGCCCTCCTCACTGTCTGGCACTGAGCCCCAGCACCCTCGGAAGGTGCTGTTGCATATGGCCGGCTGCTTGTGTAGCCAATGAGCCGCATGGAGGCGGCGCACCACGATTTCAGGTTCCAGCACACACGAGTTTTCGATACTTAAACATGCGTACATACGCACATACCTAGATATACATATATGTATATAAGCATGTATTTCTATATGGTGCCCCCCCCCCCCCATGGATCCACCTTTTTCGCCTTTCAAGTACGTGACGTCGAGCACGATCGAGAGCATTCGTACACCATCTTGACGCGCATCATGAGCATAAGTTTTTTTGGGACAGTACAGCATTTTTGCAGCAAAGGATTGGGATTTTTGGGACAGTACAGCACTTTTGCAAAAAAAATAACAAAAACACTGTACTGTCCCAAAAAAACCAATCTTTTTTTTGCAAAAGTGCTGTACTGTCAAAAAAAACAAAAAAAACAATCTTTTCCAGTCTTGAACAAGCTACCGACTACAGGCCTTCCAAAAGATTGGTTTTTTGGGGACAGTACAGCATTTTT